TGAGCAGCTATCTAAGATGCAACTATTGGTCTTTGCTCATCTGAAGCAAAGAATAATGAAGAAAATCAAAGCCATTTGGAAACAATTAGTCTAAGGATACAATAGACCTCGAGACTAGAAGAACTAGATGGTGCCCATATACCAATGCCAGCCACTTGGGAAGGGATCAAAACAGGAGATCCTGGATGGAGTGATAGGAAAAATGTGGAACAAAATTAAAAAACACAAAAATAACAAGTATTATTGGTTGGATAGAATCTGATGGAACCCCCAAGACTAAAGTTTTGGCATACCCTTCAGATCTAGGATTGGACTCATTCCCAATGATTGGCTGTCAGCCCCATAGCAGAAAGAATTTCATGCACACATCCACCCCAGGGTGATTCATCCATCTACTCTAGGGAGACACACTCCCTAGAGCAATCGGCCATGGGGCACCAGATGGGCAGCATTCATGTGGAGGGAAAGCTGGTCAGATAGGAGTACATAGTTGAGAAGGTCACAGGGAAGAGGTGGTCACAGGGATGGGAGGGGAGGAGAGTGTGTATCTTCAGGGATAGTAATCAGGGTGTGAAATCAAATGTCCATGAATTGTTGAATGGAAAAATATTTTGCTTTGTAAATTTGCACCCAAAGCACAATAAAAAAAAAAGTAAAATAGAATAACTAGCACTTTCTCACTACCAGTTACACTCAGCTATAAAATTCTCCACAATACCTTTATTAATTTCAAGAAAAGTAAATCTATTAAATGTTATATTAAAAAATATTATCTCAAAATAAAATTAAAAAAAGTTGCTGCCATGTAACTCAGAATATTATTTCTAAGGATGTTCACCCATTCCATGATTAAATGATCTTTATGTTACTTCAGCACAGAGAAAAGTTCTCAATATTTTTGCCACCATGGATTTCTTTCATTGATATGTTCCTTATGGACATCAGGGATTGAAAGATTTATCTACTAAGCAAACAGCATGTATGTGATGGCTAAAGTAAGTCGGCAGTGCTATAATTCCCAGTAATTTGGTAGTTGTGATGTAATCATCCCCCATGATGAGATCTGACTTAATGTAATCACTCCCATGATAAGATCTCCTATGAGCAGCCAATCAATTGAAAGGGAGTTTCTTTGAGTGTGTGGCCTACATCCAATATATATGGATGTCTTGGTAAAGCTCTCTGCTTTTTGCTCTATTTGGATCTTGCATTTGACTCATCATCATTTGTGTTAGACTGTGTTCTCTAGAGAAGCAAAACTAGTAAAGCTCATAGAGAGAGAGAAAAAAAAGAGGAATGTATCTTAGGAAAATAGCTCACACCCTTATAGAAGCTGGCAAGTCCCAAGTTCTTGGATCAAACATCAAGCTGGAGGCTTTTCCTGATTCACACTCCTGCAGGGGCTGATAACTTCAAGGTTGGCAGGCAGTATACTGGCTGTTGACTCCAACAAATGATGAATTCAAGATCTCTAGGTCGAATGGTGGATTGTTCATTCACAAACAGTTGTAGGCAGCACAACAGAATCCTGATCCACAGAAGAGTGTCACTTTTCCCAGGATGTCCATAAATACACTGGAAGCAGGCCACACCCCTAGGAAACTCCCTTTCAATGGACTGACTGGTCAAAATATATACGTCTATCTCATCATTGGAACAACCCATATCAAAATTGTTTAAACCACAAAGAATTGTGGTCCAGCGAAGTTGACACACAGCTCCAACTATTGTATCATCTGACTTCCAGCTGTTTGGACTTGAGCCAGCAGGCTGCCATATTGCCTGCTGATCTTGGGATTTGTCAGTCTTCACAGCCTGTGAACTATACATTTGCCATCTGACCTGTCAATCTTTGGTTCACCAGCCCCTGCAGCTATGTGACCCAAGAGAAGTTTCCAACATGATATATGGCCCATGGACTTGAGGCTTGCCAGCATCTACACTGTGTAAGCTATTTCACTGACATAAATCTCTCTGTCTGTCTGTCTGTCTGTCTGTCTGTCTCTCTCTCTCTCTCTCTCTCTCTATATATATATATATACACTCACACACACACACACACACACAGCTCCACCATTATGCTTTCCAGCCTAAGAAAATGTTTTATGAACTAAGAATACTTTTATGTCTTAACATTGATTCATATTTTTAACTAAGGGTTTATGAGAATAATGTAGAATTAAATATATCACTACCATTTTTCTTGGAAGCAGCAGTCAAGAAATCAGATGTCCCAAATCTGCTGCAAAAATCTACTTAAAGTACCGAAGAATAAAGAAGTCACTTTGAAGACTAAGGTGTGCCTAACCCAAGCCATGAGATTTTCAATCACCTAATATGCATGTGAAAGCTGGAGAGTAAATAAGGAACACTGAAAAAGAATTGATGCCTTTGAAATGTGGTACTGGCAAAGAATATTGAAAATAGCAGGGACTCCCAGAAGACTGAACAAATCTGTCCTGGAAGAAATATACCTGTAATGCTCCTTAGAAGTGAAAATGGCCAGATTTCATCTCACCTAGTTTGATCATGTTGTCAGAAGGGACCAGTCCCTGGAGATAGATATCATGCTATGTAAAGTAGAAAAAACTTTCCACTTTCATGCAAAAAAAGGGAAGACCCTCAATGAGATGGATTCATACAATGACTGTAATGATACAGGCTCAAGCATAGCAAGGATTGCGAGGATGGCACAGAACCAAACAGTGTTTCATTCTGTTGTGCATAGTGTTGCTATGAGCCAGAATTGACTTGACAGCACCTAACATTGGTTAATGATGCTAATGTGCAATTAAATAAGCACCTAGACACTTTTTCCTGGTTCACTGTTAATGGCTGAATAATTATAGGTGGCACAGTGTTTAAACTGTTTAGAAGCTAATTGAAAGGTCAACAGTTTAAAGTCACCACAGCTCTGCAGGAGAAAGATGTGACAGTCTGCTTCCACAAAGATTTACAGCCTTGCAAACTATATTGGGGAGTTCTACTCTGTCCTATGGAATCACTTAGAATCTACTCGATGGTCACAGGGTTTATATACTCAGGTACAAGGCCTGTCACACAATAGATCTGCTCAGTGTGGGTAGTTTATCTACCTAAACTGTAATAGCAGTAAATGCTGAATATACCAACTGTGCCTCCTCAAATTCCAACATGTCTTTAGTAACTAGTCAGAACTTAAACTAAATTGCACGTCTAGTAAGAACAAAATAGAGTTTATTTAATCACTAGATGGATAGTACTTCTGATCCTTTTGCAAACACTCTCATTATTTAATATATTTGGAGAAGTACAGCAGAGCAAGTTGGAAAGCACAATTTTCATAATAGGATGTAGTTTTATACCATTTTTTTGTTTAAGATAAAATAAAATTTTCTTATTCAAGAATTTATTAGACACACACATATATACATACATTCAACTAACTCAAATTGAGAGCATCCTTTGAGGTTCTTAAATAACTTTAAAAATAGACTGTCCCTGAGTTACAAATAAGATCCCTTCCTAAGGGTCTTTATGTCAAATTTGTAAATAGGTTGGAACAGATACATACAATTCTTAATAGCCTTATTTTAGCGCAAACCAGGAGCTCTGGTGGCATGTTGTTGTTATTGTTATGTGCCGTCGAGTCAGATCCGACTCATAGCAACCCCTCTTTGGGTTTCCGAGGCAGTATCACAACGGAAGTAGATTGCCCAACCTTGCTTCCAAGGAGTGGCTGATGGGTTTGAACCGTGTAGTTAAGTATTCAACTGCTAACCAAAAGGTTGGCGCTTGGAACCCACCAGCCACTCTGTGGGGCAAAGATGAGGCTGTCAGCTTCCACAAAGATTTTACTGCCTTGGAAACTGTATGCAGCTGTTCTGCTCTACTAAAGTGTTGCAGTGAGTTGAAATCAACTCAATGGCAGTAGGTTTGGTTTTTGGTTTCGTACAAAAGCCTTTTCAATGATTTAAAAGCTGCAAGTACAGCAAGTGAAGGTAATTACGATTAAGAATTTGCTGCATGTAGGGGTTCTTTCAAAGGAGCTCTGGTAGCACAGTGTCTAAGGCATCTGACTGATAACCAGAAGGTTGGTAGTTCAAACTCACCAGCCACTCTGTGGAAGCAAGACTGGGCAACCTACTTCTGTGAAGATTTACTCCTTGGAAACCCAATGGGAGTTGCTATGAGTTGGAACTGACTTAATGGCAGTGGGTTGTTTTTTGGGGTAACATAAAGGTAGGAGTTGTTCTTCAGTCGAAAATTCATAACTGTAACTCAAAGACTTACTTAAGCAATATTCAGATATACATACAAACATACATAAAATGTTAAAGAGAAGATGAAAGGAAACCCCTATTGTTTGGGGGCTTGTTGACAGTGCTCTCTAAAATACTAAAATTAGGTCAATCTGTTGACAGAAGCCACAAGACATTTATTCACAACACTGTGAATAAGACTTTACCTGAAAATTTGAGAAAATTAGAAGGCAAGGTGGTTTCATAGGAAGAACAGCAGCATTAGAGTCATTAAAAACTAAAATCATTGCCATCGACATGATCCATACTCGTAGCAACTCCCTTCGGGTTTCTAAGGCGGTAAATATTTGTGGAAGTAGACTGCCCAGTTTCCCTTCCTAGGAGTGGCTGGTGGGTTTGAACTGCTAGCCTTCTGTTTAGCAGTCAATTACCTTAGGAAGTGCACCAGGGGAACGCCTGTAAGTCTTTAGGGAGGAATAAAGAGTTCTTTCTCTCTTTAATTTTCCTTATCACTAATAAAATACCATAAATAAACCAGGGTTTTTTTTTTTTTTTTTTTTTTTTTTTCTATATTCAGTATATTCATCAGAAGAATGAAAAAATTAAAATATTACATCTGACATATTTTCAATATCTAACATTCTAAGAACTTCTGAATAGACTATTTACGCTCTTTGGATTATCTGTTGATGTGGATACTCAAGAAAGCAAGCATTTAGTTTATGAAGGGGAAAAAAAAAAACACCAAATTGTACTTACTCATAAAGCCTTGGTTCTTCAACCATCCCAAGCTCATTCAATAATTTAAATGTAATATAGCCATGCTTCATTGCTTTGTTCCGAACAAGTATATTGAGAACAAAATAGTAGGCTACAAAACAAAAATATTAAATCCATTTCACATGGCTTTTACTTTGTTTTTGTACCTTAGTAGATACATATGCAGGTATATATGCATATACTGTATGTACATGTACATGTTATATATATATATATATATATATATATATATATGAAGGTTGGGCATTCCTACTTCTGTAGTGATACTGCCTCGGAAACCCAAGGAGGGGTCGCTATGAGTCAGGGCCGACTCGATGGCAAAACAACAACATATATATATATATTTAGAAGCATTCATTTGGTAAATGGGTAATCCCTTCTATTTCTTGCTTGTTTGTCAATTTTCTGTGGGTTTAAAAAAAAAAAAAAAAGGTATAAAGAAGCCTGGGAATCAGTCATAGATAGGTGAAGAGTTGACAGAATTACTAGTGAGAACAACTGACGTGAGAAAACTTTCAGGATATAGGTCAATTAAACAACTTTTTTTTATCAATAGCACATTTAAGACAAATATAATATGATTCCTTAATTATCTAATTGTCCCAGATAATTATTTTTTTTACTTATATAATTCACAACTTTACTGGCTATTTAGGAATTACTCATGGGTAAGAATGGACTGAACAGCAAAGTGGTTTTTTTCTTTTCTTTTCTTTTCTTTCGACTTATTAGGGTAAGCCCATAGAAGTTTTTATTCAAAATGCTCCTGCTAAAAAGGCAAGGATGTTGAACTACTATTCTTAATATTGTCAGCAATATAGGAAGCCTGACTATGAGTTATCCCAAGACCTGTGCACCCCTTCTAAAAGACAATGTAATGATGGAAATATTACTGTGAGAAATCTCTGTGCAAAAAAAATTGTGTCTGAAGAACCACATGATTGATGCAGAAAAGGCATTTGATAAAATACAACAGCCATTCCTGATCAAAACTCTCAGCAAAATAGGAATAGAAGGGACATTCCTCAACATAATAAAGGGTGTCTTGGAAGGAAGGTTGGGCAATCCTACTTCTGTAGTGATACTGCCTCGGAAACCCAAGGAGGGGTCGCTATGAGTCGGGTTTGACTCGA